AATCAATCAATCAATCAATCAATCAATCAATCAATGCCTGGCATGGATTGCTCCATGTAGTTGACTGTCTGTCCATCCTTTAAAAGGTCAGTACGACGACACCCACACACGATATATCTGTTCAACATCGTCACCCAGTCAGTGCATTACGCTTCCAGACTCAACCAACCTGTCCGGACAGGACAGCACCGGCCGAAGACATATAACCAATGCCATCATGATCACCAGGTGCTCTCTCCTACCTACCACTTAGCATATATATCTTGTTGTTGTCCTTACTTTATCTCTTGTGTTAATCTTCTAGATATATAAATATATCTTTACTTGTCAACTCCTTCTCATCATCATCGGCAAGCACAACATCTAATCTTTCATCATCAATATCCAATCAATATCCAATCAATCATACTTTATTTATTATTAATTATTCATCATCATAGATATATCTAATAAATCCAATAGATATCTCAACCTTATCCATCATCATCACAATCAATAATGGATATTTCCAACACAACATCAAACTCCTCTTCCTCCACATCAACATCCAGTTTGTGGCAAACTCAAACCCAGACATCTTCACCCCCACACACACACAACCAACAACATCATCAGACCAAACACCTGGCATCTCTTGAGGTCATCAGCCCATCCAATACATCTACCGATATAGATTTATTCGCAGAGTCTACCTATCCACTAACATCTACTACTGCCGACCAACAAAGTTCAACTTCCACCACATCTTCCTCCACCACTACTACAACAACGCATGTTATAACTTCAGCTGAACAACAACAACAAACGAACGATCTATTACATTGCATCACAATGACATATAATAATCAACAACAACAACAGCAACAAAATACATTATTTAATGAGTCAGACTCACCATCATCATCAATATCAAGCAGTACCAGTAGTAGTAGCCATGACCTGTCAATGTCACCTCTGTCCAATTCACCAAGCAATCAAGAGGTACCATATGCAACCGTTACCCAACTATCCCCATCATCCTCGTCAATTGACAACACTCCCAGGAAGCGTGGCCGTGATGATGATGCCCTCAGTTTCCTTGATAACTTCACCTCCACACCCACATCCAAGACTGAACAACAACAACAATCAAGTGGACGTCTACCATCAATCCATCACCTTGAGTTGGACAACACAAAGAGCAAGTCAGGTCTAGATGATGTTGTGTCAAGGACTGGCGGAGAACATGGTCACAAGAGAAAATCCAAGACTCCAAAGTTCACACTCAACACTGGAGCACTGGTGTCAAACAATAGTTCAGTCAATGTCCAGAGCCAAGTGCAAGGCTATGGCTCAGTTGCCAATAATGAATACAACACCAACAACTATCACAACTATCAACATCAATCATCCAATAGTAGTACACCTCAGCCATCATCACCCACAGCACTCAATCTCATGTCTGTCCAATACGCCAACACATACAACTCGAACAATGGTCCAAGCGCCACTGATTCATACTTCTCAGGCTCATCATCACTTGGCAATGAGTACTCCAACAACACGCATGGACATATGATAGGACAGAGCATGTTACCAACATCATCACACGTCATCAATGATACTGCTCCACCATCATTCATGGATAGTTATCATCACTCATCATCATCCAGTAGTAACATCCTGCTGGAACGTCCACAATCATATTTCAATTCAGCGTCGACATCCAATGTTAATGTCGGTCCAAAGATTGGCAGCGCACTTAGATATAGTGATCATCAACAACATTCATTACACACCACGCCCAACACTTCATCCAACAACTTATTCTCTCACTATTCTTATGATGCTGCACATGGTCTACAGTTGCCCAAGAAGACTCATAGAAGACGTCCAGCCAATGTAGACAAGTCAACTCTATATTGCCATCACTGCAGCACAAAGACCACGCCAGAGTGGCGTCGAGGACCAAATGGACCTGCCACCCTCTGCAATGCCTGTGGTCTGGCCTTTGCCAAGAAACAACGTGAGGAGGAGTCACAGAAGCTCATCATGCAGAGTCAACAACAACAATATGGCAATGTACGTACCAGTGCCAATCATCATCATCACGAGGCGTACACTGCCAGTCAGGTTGCCCTAGGTTATGGCCATCCTTCATCACTACCATTCATGTCATCGTCTTCTTCTGCAACACCATTGTCCAACTCATACCAATCATATCAAGCGTCAAAGTCCAACAACTACCTGACAACATCGCTCCCATTAATACCAGTGTCACATCAACATCGTCAACAACAGCAACAACAACAACAACTCTCCCTTATCGATTCAAGGAGGCAGATATTCTCAAATGGTAGTTAGACGACGACCTAGATAAATAAACAATACAATTATATATCTTTATTATTACTGTTTGATGCCTTGAGTATCTAGAATGATGTCATTGCAGAGATTGGTGATGCCTGAGATGATCTAGATGATCTTGGACGACAAGGTGGGGATGCATATCCTCTCATGATGTCTGAGCCTCCTGCCTCATCCTCCTCGCTAGAGGTTGACACTGTCTCATCCATCTTGGTGTGTGCCATCAGGGAGTTTGGTGACATCTGTACAATTGGATTATCTCCAAAGGTATTTGTATCACGATTGAATGTCATTCTATTCTCTCCTCCAAACTCCACCTCTAGTTGGTCGGCTGCGATGTAGTTCAACACCTCTGGTGCAACTCTTATACCATTCTCCTTCTTTGAATTGATGAACTTCACCTTTGACAATGTGACTTCATTAAAGAATGGTGTCACTAACTTCCAGAACAACCAGAACATAGTAGGTGGATCTAAGAATATAGCTTGACCCAGTCTCTCTGGACAATGATCTGATAATATATGTACACATTCCTTTAAATAACATGATTCAGTTTTATAGTTAGTAACTTATAGTACATTGTCAATGAACATGTTGCAAACATACCATTACAGACTTCATATCAAGATTCTTTCTTGAGAAGCCTTGAAAGTCAACAAAGAGAGTGACTGACTCGATGCCATTGTCTTCGTTCATTTGTTTGATAGAGTACTCTAGCCAGAACATTAGATTCTTCTTCTTTAGCTCTGTTGGCACTGACTTTGGGTCGTTTCTTGGACGTATCATAACGATGGGACGACCCATCCTATCTCTGCCATTTTGATAGATGGCACCACTCTTTGCCATCTCGACTACTTCCGAGAACTTGATATCTTGAGGTCTATTCTGTTTACGCCATTCCAGTGTTGCCCTTAACATCTTCTCGGACTTTTCAATATGATAATTTCTTGCTCTTAGATATCTCAACAAACATCTATCAGTACAGAATTGTTGTGACTCTACATCTTGTAGATCAGATAGATTTTTTCTTAATATTTTAAATGCCTCCAATTGACTAGGAGTGAGTGTTTTGAATGATGACATAGTTAAATAATAATAATAATATAAAAAGAGTTATTGATTTAATATAAGTTAAATAAATAGAGATAATTTAAATAAATACTAATATTTTATAAGTATGAATTATTGTATGTATTTTATGATATGTTATGATATACACACCTATATTATGAGTAGGATGAAGAAGTTGTAGGAAGTAAAGTATCTCAAGTTATGTGATAGTGAAGTATAAATAACCAATCTAGGACATTATTAACAAAGATTTAGATTGTCCATCTTCGTTCGGGAATCCCAATGTTCAAGGTCCAACTAACCAAACAGTGTGGGAGTAATTGTTGTCAACAACAAAAATTACCCAATTTGGTAAATGAAAGGACTAACCCCCAACCCCGATATTCGACAGCATCTCACTTGTGTCGTTTTATCGCCATGGTGTGTACCATCTTTGTTGTGTTTTTACAACTTACAAAGAAGAAGAAGAAGCACCCAAGGGTATATTGGACCAAGGTCACTGTTCAATTGTAAAATCTATCCTAATATGGAAGGAAATGTCCTTTTAAGTTTGTTGGTGTCTGACCAATCTAATCTTGTCTCCAATTTGAATTTGAACAACTAATGTTTATTATTCGGTTCCTTCTTGTGATCCAAAGAATATATCCTATTTAGGAATAGAACTGAGTTGATCACTATTAATTTTTTAGACTAGAAAGAAACGATTTATTCTTTTGATCGACAATGATTGACACAAACAATAGTTTTGATGTAGGGAAGACATCAGAACAGTACGAAAGAACAATCAATGCAAGAACAACAACAACAACAACAATCATTGCCACTTGAACGATGTGATCTTCATGGTCGGAAACAAAGGTTCTTGTGTATCACTTGCAAGGTACCATTATGTTCCAATTGTTTGATTACAAAGGAGCATTCCAATCATAAGATCTTCAGTATCGATGATATCAAGTTGGACTATTCAACAATAACTCACTCAAAGACTAAATCTGACAACGTTGCCTTCGGCCAGCCCTTTGTGCCTCGTCTATTCTACCTCTGGGACATGTTGCAGCAACTATCATTCACTTATAGCACATTGGATAAGTCAATCAAAGATGTTGCTGAGCACTTTAGACAAGAGCATGAGAAGTTGCGATTGGAGGAGCACAAGATGAACAGTCCTATTATCGAGGAATTCAAAAAGACAAGGTCGACAATGTCTGCCATCATCAAGGAGGTTGAGGACATCTCAATACTGTTCAAGATGGTCCCACTAAACAGTGATGATGATCTAGACTGTCATGATGATGGCAATGACGACTCTGAAATCAAACGTATAAATACAGAGTTGGTCGAGTTCATCAAGTCATCATCAACAACATTAGTGGATTATATGAAGAAGAACTTCAAACCTGTGACGGCTAGAGAAATCGAGCATCTCGGTGATAATGAGTTGATGGCGTTGGCACAAAAACGCCTGCAAACGATCAACACTCCTCATAGATTGACAAAGGCACTCAAAGCAACATTCACTGTCAAGCAGTCACAATCCTCTTCAATCTTCTCATATAAAGCAGCGTCGAATCACTGTGGCATCTACTCACCAGAGACAGGCAAGTGGACAAGCATTGATGTTGTTGGTGATAACGAACAGACGAATACATTTTCGGCGATTGTTTTTGCTTGTGACAATGTCTATGTATTTGGTGGATACTCCAATCCATCATATGAACGATATTCATTGAAAGAGCATCGATGGTACAAAGACCTTCCATTAATGGACGATATCGCAAATACAGGAATATCAGTTTGTTTTGATGGCGATTCATATATCTACTTGGTTGGTGGACATGACAACCTCAAACCATCAAACCAAGTGCATCGCTTCAATGTCCATACACAACAAGTCGAATCATTTGGAAGCATTCCTCTCAATCTTTGGTTCTCTTTTGTCGCTCATCACAATGGCAAACTATATATCTTGGGTGGACTCTATGAGGATTCACTCGAGAGCAAGACATTGATCACCTTTGATATCCGGACCAAGAAGACCAATATCAATAACTTAGATTTCAACAAGAGCATATATTCTTGTTGCTTCGATGGTGTTGACTCACTATACTACATCGAACCGATAGGTTTCCGTCAATTTTCCTTGTCAACTATGCAGGCCAAGGCTTTGAGCCTCCCCAGTGGGCTATCTTATGGCTATCCAATTGTCTATGACCCTAATGGCGACCAAGGAACAATATATATGCTCCAAGGTAAAGGAAGAAATCTCAAGTATTCCATCAAGCTCAATCAGTGGACCACCTTGAAAGATGACATGGAAACAGAGATATCTACTTGGTGTGGTGCATGTTTGATCCCACCAGAGAGCAAATAAATTGCTAGGTTGAGTATCGACCACTTAAGTTAAACAATCAAACAAAGAATAGTTTAGTAATAATCTATTATTAGTCTAAGATCATCATGGACATAGATGATATACAGATGATAAGGTGTGAAGCACATAATAAGAAGAAGAGGATACTATGTATAACATGCAAGATGTTGATATGTTCAGAGTGTACATTCACTGAGCAACATACATCTGATAAACATAGATTCATTAGTATCAATAGTATAGCTCAGTCGATTGACAGTGGAGACTATTGTGAACCATACTCTTCAAGGTTGGCGTACTTGTGGGATATGTTACAACAGTTATCTACAACACATCAGTCATTGGACAAGACGATCAAACGTGTTGTCGAGCATTATCGATTGCAACATGAGAGGTTGCGATTGGAGGAGCACAAGATCAACTCTCCTATCAATGATGAGCTGACAAAAACCAAGTCAACGATATCATCGATAATCAAAGAGATTGGTGATATCAATGTGTTGTTCAATGTTGTATCATCATCCTCAAATGAAAACACACTTCACTGGTGATGTCAATGAGCATGATTTCATACCATCTGATGATTCAATCTATTCAGCTGCTTCACAGAGTGTGGACAATGAGCTTGTTAAGCTTATCAAGTCATCAAAGACAATGGACCTATTTGTGGAGAGCCATTATCCATTGGTCATCAATGATTCAAACAACACAGAGACAATGCCTAACACTGGTGGTAGTAATGACATTGTATTGATGACAAGAGTGCAAGAGACAATCCAGAACATAGACACACCATATCATCTCACACATCCAATTCGTGTACCATCACTTGGTCGCCGAGGAAAGAAACATCGCGAAATAGGAGAATCAATCTTCACCATCAAGGAGCAAGGCGAAGAAGAAAAAGGACATTGTGGAATATATTCACTTCAGAATTCAAAGTGGACCAGTATCAATCCAATTCCATCGTCACTCTCAATTAATATGCCCTCCGCTGTGTGTGTCAAGGACAACATATACATATTTGGAGGCTGTCATAGTACATCGACATACTCAAGATATTCATTATCTGAACAATGCTGGTACCTTGACTTGCCAATGATTGGAATTTCACCAGGAAAAGGAATATCAGTATGCTATGATGGTGATACTTATATCTATCTGATAGGAGGAATAGGTGATTGTGATGCGGTTCTCAATCGAGTGGATCGCTTCAACGTTCTCACGCAACAGTTCGAACACCATGGAATCATTCCACTTGGCCTTTGGTTTTCTTTCACCAATTATCACCAAGGCAAGCTCTATGTCTTAGGTGGATTGTATAACGATGACGATCAAAGCAGGACTATAATCACTTTCGACATTGAGACAACGTGTCTCAGATTTCGCATCTTCACTTTGACCATTATATTATAGCATGTTCCTTCGATGGAAAAGACAAACTCTATTTCACCGTTATGGATAAACTCCTACAATTGACATTGCCATCAATGAAGTTGACAAAGCTGAACAAGACAGAGGATCTAAAGCGTGCATATTCATCCATATATCACAATGGAGCCCTCTATTTCATTCAAGGAAAAGGTCTCAATCTCAAGTACACCGTGGAGAATGCTGAGTGGACAGTAATCAATGATGGAGTCAGTCCTCTCACCATGGGGATGTGCAGTTCTTATCCACGACCAAAATGACTGACACTTCAGATTTACATCTAAATATTTATTACTAAATGGTTCAATAAATTATAATAACCAAATCAGGCACTGGTATTTTATGTATTAGTGACAGACCAAATTAAGATTAGGTCATTGGAAAAAGTAACCAATGTCATATATTTTATTATTTGTTGAGTAAGTGAGACATCTTTGTATACATAATAATATACTATAATATATATTTTAATAGAGAGAATGTTTATTAAAAAGATATTATTAAGAAGAGGGCCAAGTGAAGAGAATATAACTCTTCCAAAACCTATTGAAGAAGACACAAAGGATCTGAATCAAGTTGATGGAATAATGATTATTGAACCTCAACCAATGTTGTTGGAACATCCTGATTTAGTAGAACCAGAAAAGGCAGAGAAAAATGACCAAAAGGAGGAGGAAGTGGAAATACCCAACAATGAGAGCAAGAAAAGGAAGAGAGAGGAATATGAGGTCCACTTACCATGTTCAAGTGTTGCTGAAATGGACTTTGACTTTGACTTCAACAAAGCCGACTTTTTATTGGATGATATATTATGTTCTAAACACGATAGAAGGATAAAGGAAGTGATATGTATAACATGTAATCAACTAATGTGCTCAGAATGTACATTATCTGAACTACAACAACAACATAAAGGACATACTCTAGAGAGTGTAACAACAATCAAACAATCAATTGAGAAGGGCAAGTTCACCAAGGTCTACACAGAACGATTGAACTATCTCTACGACTTCCTTCAGAATGCGGGTGCTACACGTCAATCATTGTCGGACACGATCCAAGATGTGGATCAACACTATGCCAAACAACATAGGTTGCTTCAATATGAAGAGAACTTGGTAAAGGCTCCTGCAATCAAATCAATATCAAAGACAGATCGTATGATCTCGAAGGCACTCAAAGAGATGGGATCGATCAATGCTATGTTCAGAGCGTCCACTGATCAACTCAAGTTGGAAGACAACAACAACAACAATGATGACGATGATGATTCAATAGTTGTAACATCATCACTGGTGGACTCACTAAAGTCATCATCTTCAATGGAGGACTTTATTGAAACAAACTTCATTGAAGACTTGGAAAGAGAACCATTTTCCAACAATGAGCTGATGTCAAGAGCAATGGACACTGTGGAGAGATTTGATACATCATACGCCCTAACCAAGCAGTATCATGCTGTTGAATACACCGAGGAGACTGTAAAGACAAGTATCAAGTTGGTAGAGCACAAGAACCCAACTCAATTGTTCTGCTATGATATCAATGAGACTCAATATGGACTGCTATCTTTGGAAGACTCAAAGTGGACACACATTGGTGACCAAAACGAACCAACAACAGACATCTTAACATCAGTTTGCTATGCCAAGGATAACATTTACATCTTTGGAGGTGCCTACACCATGAAGACGTACTCACGCTACAGTGTCTCTGAGAGAAGATGGTATTACAACCTTCCAATGAATGGCATCAAGCCTGGATCTGGTATCTCTGCTTACTACAACGGCAAGTCTTTCATTTACTTGGTTGGAGGAAGAGGTACTGATGGAGAGTACCTCAACAGAGTGGATCGGTTCAATGTCAATACTCAACAGTTTGAGAGACTTGGATCAATTCCCATCAATCTATCATCATCATTCGTTAGTTACAATCAAAACAAGTTAACAATAGTTGGTGGTCTCTACAATGATGGCAAGAGGGACAATGATAGGATGAATGAGAACAATGAACTAAATGAAGGTAGTCAATCATTAATAGAGTTTGACACTAGGAGTCAAAAGTCAACAATCAAACATTTGGACACCTTCTTCTCGAATGAAGGTACAGTATGTTGTTTCGATAGCATTGGAAACTTATATGTATTGGATACATTCGACAGTGAATTCAAACGTATATCATTGTCAACATTGGAAGCAACTAAATTGTCCCCGATACCATCCTTTATTGAATGGACTCATCCCATAGTTTTTGATCCGGCAAGTCAGTCAATTATCATGGTTCATGACAAGGAACTCATATTTAGATATTCCATTCTAAATAATGAATGGAAGACGGAGAACCACAACACCATCAACTTCCAACTTGTTGGTCGGTCAGGTGCATGTTTGATCCAAGATTGATTGGTTGATTGTTCTTTTTGTTATTGTTGGATGGTGTGAATGAGAAATAAACTGCAAAAAAGGTGAAGAATTTGAAAAACGAACGAAGGTCATTCGCGAAGTGCTCAATTCTCATTCAAATACAAATGCTTTACACTTTACTTAATTATTCAATCTATACAAATACATTTATATACAGATACATTAATACATACATATAATGTCAAACAAGAAACAACAACAAAAACAACAACAACAGGAGGATGCTGAATATATAGATCCAAATGATACTGCACAAGAGGTATTGCTGGAAACAGCAGAGAATTCAATGATGGACGACGATGATGATATGAACAATGGAGATCATAACGATGATGAGGATGATGATCAAGATGAGGATGGCGATGACAATGATAATAATATGCAGATGGGTCAAGATGATGATATGGAGGACTTTGTCGATGAGTCTGTACAAGGATTCTTTGATCACAAGGAGAGTGTCTATTGTGTGTCAATCAACGGACAGCATCAAGACGTCATTGCCACGGGTGGTGGTGATGATCTGGCCTACCTGTGGAGCGTCGGTGATGGAAAGATGGTTCACAAGCTCGAAGGACACAAGGACTCGGTCAGCTCGATCGAGTTCAACTTTGATGGCAGCCTCGTCGCTACAGGAGGCATGGACGGCACTGTCAAGGTGTGGGACGTCGCCACTGGTAAGCAAACTGTCACTCTGGAGGGTCCCAGCGAGTCTGTCGAGTGGATCAAGTGGCACCCACGTGGCAACGTTCTGATCGCCGGTGCTTCAGACTGCATGGGATTCCTGTGGTCGACGCTCAAGGGCGACCTGATGTCAACATTCTCTGGTCACAGTGCACCGCTGACCGCAGGAAACTATACACCAGATGGAAAGCGTGTGGTCACCGTGTCTGAGGATGGCACTCTCAGAGTGTGGAATCCAAAGGACGGCTCTATGGCCGGTGTCATTCAAGGTCACGGATTCCATGAGGGACCCATCAGCACCTTGGCTATTCGTTCCGATGGTGTACTAGCAATCACAGGTGGAGAGGATCACTTTGCCTGTATCTCAAACATCAACACATTCAAGACTGTTGGAAGGCTGATGGGACACACTGATACAGTTGAGGCTGTTGCCTTCTCCAATACCAATCCAAAGTATGTTGTTGGACATTGAATGATGAAAGGTCTACATACTAACCATGTCTATAATATATAGCTTTGCAATTACAGGATCAATGGATGGAACAGTTAGAGTATGGGATGTTAACTCACAACAGCCAAGGACAATGATGAAGCATAAGAGCGGAACATGTATTACAAAGATCATCGTACATCCAACTCAACCAATTGTATACAGTTCATCCACTGATAAGACTATATGTCTGTGGGACGAGCGTAATGGACAGCTGATCAAGCAGTTCCCCGGCCACCAAGACTCTATTCTCGACTTTGATATTACACGCGATGGCAGCACCATTGTCACTGCAGGAGATGACAAGGTATCACTAGTTTTCTCAATGTTCGCTCAGACTGCTCAACCAAATGCTACCGTCTCCAACACTACCCAACAATCATCAACTACTACTACCATGCAATAAATATATAAGTGTTTGGTAGCTTTATTTAAATATAAAGATGATGATGATGTATTATTACATGTACATATAAGTTAGTTAATGCTTCAAGGCATTGAGGAACCAGTTATACTGTCTCCATGAGAATACTGATGATACAATCGAGCGCACTAACCAAGGCACCTGGTTGTTGAATGACTTTGCCATCACTTTGTCGTGGTAGGATGCATCGACCATGGCACAGATGGCAAAGGCGGCACCTTCCTCCTTTTGTGTGAATGACTTGACAGCATCAGACACCTTGTTCTGGGATGCTGTTGGGATGTCCAACAAGTTAGGGAATAGCAGTCTCTCCTCATCCAATGTGTGCTCCTCAATGGCCTTGGCGGCCTCCTTCCACTTTGAATCCAAGGCAGAGATATGAGTCTTGAGGTCCGCGGCTTGGGTTCGGACATCACACTCCTCAATACGATGCAGGATGGTCTTTAGCTCATCGTAGGCAGTCTCCCAGCCAGCATGTTGAGTGTCAAGGTATTCCAAGTAGGGCTTGATAGTTGGTTTCTCATTGATGAACCATGGCCATACAATCTTCTCCTCACTCTGATGATGATTGTGTAGGAATAGCATTGCTTGACGTATAGCATCATTGACAATGATCACCTCCTTCTTGGACTTTGGCTCCCATCTCTCTAACTTATGCTCAACCAGAGTGAATAGACGTCTGATTGTTGTGTGGCCCCATAACCAACCATGTAGATGGAAGTTTGGATTAGAATATGCTACTTCATATGATATTGAAGGATATTCTTCTCCTGATATTGATATAGTTGTATTATTAATTGTTACTGTAGACATTATGTTCTTATATTTGATTGATTGACTTGATTGATTGTGTTGTATGAGTGAAACTTAAGTTGTTTAAGTAGTATCCCGCCACCTTCTGATGGAATAGTCTTTGCCCTTGACTTTTAAGAATTTACAAAACTATTAATAGAAGGGGTATGTAGAACATACTTCTACGTCAACCAGGTTATATGTCAAAGGTGTCATATAAAAGAGTGTTGAGCACTCGACATTGGAGCACCAATCAACCAAACACACCCACCAATCATTTCGAGGCAATGGTGATCCTCCAAACAAACAATGTCGCTCCACACCCTACAACATCAACACAACATCACACCACTTCGATCTTCAGGTCTTAATCCCTCGATTATGTATATATTGTTCTTACAACAATCTACAATGTTGTTCTATTACTTGTATTATTATTTGTTTAGTTTGGTTCTAATGGAAAGTGAAAGTCTATATGATCACCATCTGTTGTGTTGGCGTTATGTTGATGATGGTGGAGATGGTGGTGCTCATGCATCTGATCATGATGATGGTCTTGGTGATCCTGTTGTTGCATGGGATGTAGCTCTAGGTATTGGCTGTAGATCTCATCGGCTCGCTTTCTCTTGCCACCAATTGATAGTGGTGCTCCTGTAATGTCTGCTTCTCTGCCACCATAGTTGGTATCGGTCATCATGTTGGAACATTCGTTATCGTGCTGGTCCATTGCAAGTCCGGCCACAACCTCTGCTTCGTTGTATAGTTGTTGGCCATTATCCATTGATTGGTTCTCTTGATGTTGTTGGTAGTTGATTGTCTGAGAGTCAGCATCGTGGATATTGTAAGATTGTCCAAAAATATCACTGCTATCCATTGTATGTTGCTGTTGCTCTTGCTCCTGTTGTGGTTGTTGTCGTTCGGTAGTGTGCCAGCTTGATTGGCCATTGTTGATGTCATCAGCAATGTTAACTTGTTGTTGTTGTTGTTGTTGGTCGACTTGGTAGTGCTGTTCCTGTTGCTGTTGCTGCTGCTGATACAGTCCATTGTCGTTCTCTGTGTATTCACCACCACCACCATTGGTTTGTTGCGCTTCATTGTTGTTGATGTTGATCTCTTCCTGTTGTTGTTGTTGATCTTGGATAAAGTTATCAAAGTTGATCTCCATTGTTGGGAACTGAAACATTGGCTCCACTGATACTCCTGGTGTTGGTGCTGCCGATGCGACAGTTGAGGTTTCCGATATTGGAGCTTGTGATGTTTGGATTACTGGAAGATATGGTGGAGGTGTCGTGTATGTTATGTTGTCAACCGGCGTCATTGGTACGTCTGTGCCTGGAGACGACATCTCTATCATTGGTGATGATTGGAGCGAGGAGGACGGGGTGGACAATGATGACGACGGTGTTCCATACGGGGGAACCATAATGGTACCATCACTGTTGCTCAACAAGGTCGATGATTGGAATGCTGGAACTGTGGCCACACCTGGATCACTCTCTGCCAACACCTTTCTCTTCTTCTGCTTCAGAGGTGCCATAGGGAACTGGATCGTATTGGACAACAAGGAGAGTATATATTTGTATTGTGAGTCATTGAGCAGACCGGCCTTCCAGTCCGCCTTGTCCTTTGCAGTCCTGGCATCCATGTCTTTGTACATTTGGTCCATCTTTAATCTCTCTGTGATCTGATAGTTGGAATTGAAAGTTAGCAAGACTGGACTGATTGTTGATCCAACTACACAGCCTAGGATGACATACCCTTGTTGCCTTCCTGTTGGCTACGAGCCTTCTCAAGGCGTCGAGTAACAATCGTCCCCATGTTGGGTTGGTCTTGGAAGATGGTTCCTCATGGATGATAGGAATGTCTAGGATATACTCTAGACTGTTTGGTATCTCCACGCCTCGATTGTTTGCAAGAATGGTCTTGTTGGGCTTGGGGATGGCGTGGTAGAGCTTGGCATTTGGTGTGTTGGTCTTGATGTACTTTCCATCCGCTGTTAGAATATACTCTAATGATGTTCTGATGATGTTTGGTCCAGTCGTTGTCGTTCTTTTGATACCTGTCGTTACGAATCCAGCTGATGGTACAAAGTTCTTTGTATTGGTGGATGATGTTCCTGTTGTTGATGTAGATATTGTTGGCTTTATATTGTTTGTTGTTGTTGCTGCTGTTGATGTTGCAGTTGGTGTAGTTGTTGGCTTTGGTGTTAGATTGGATATAGGTGTTGTTGGCTTTGGATTGATAGTGGTGGTGTTGCTTCCATTGGTCGTGATGATCTTGGGCTTGGTAGGGAAAGGAGTCACAGGAGTGATACCAACACAGCACTTTCCTTGACATGGTCTTGTGGTGATTCTTGGTGCCGTGGTAGTCTTCCCTTCTGTACCTTCAGCTTTAATGTTTGTTGATGGAGCTGTATTATTGGTTGGTTGTGCATTTGGTTTAACTATTGTTGTTGATGATGAAGGTAAATTGTTTGTTGTTGTTGGTGTTTGTAAAGTTTTGATTGTTTGTGTTGTAATTGATGTATTTGTTGTTGATGTTGATGTTGTTGATGTTGTTGTTGGTGGTGTAGTTGTTATTGTAGTTGTTGTTGATGATTTACTACTCTCCTTCATTGCGTTGACCTGCTTAAGATTGCTACCATCTGATCTAATCGCAATACATAATAATGTTGTTGATAAGATAATAGTAAAGAGAACAATGCATAAACATTTGAACTTGGTGTACTTTCGTTCGTCTCAAAGTACAAACATTAAAATTCATTTAAAATCAAATCCCAAACTATGAACTCAAGACACCACCTAATTGATTAATGCTATGTTATTACTTTGATCCTATGAGTGTAATATCTTTACACTTTGGGATGTTATATATTTATATATTATATATTATATTATATACATTTACAGACACTAGTGTTTCAACAATTTCAATGCACAGAACACTTCGTGCTTTGATATAGACATTGATGAACCCACAAGTATATATGTCGATGACAACCTTCTCGTTTAGATATCCTCCATAGAGAAAATAAGATCTAATTAAGGTATATGGTATGTTAGTATATGATAATAATGTTGGATCGATCATATACAATACATACCATCTTCACTATTATTGTTACTATTGATTGTGTTCAGGAAACTACCACTATATCTCTCCTCCTCGTCAGCCTTGAAACGACTGGTAGAGGTGGTGCGCATGGGTGGCATGGCATCGATTGGATAGCTGTCATCAAAATGGTTAATGACAAACTTTGTTGGGGACAAACGTTGCTGTTGTTGGCTCTGATGTGAATTCTGTTTGTTCTGTACAGCCATCAGATATGGCGACGTTGGCATCCCATTGGATCCTCTCGATTGCATTTGGAAGTTATGATTCAACAAGTAGGCCATGATATTATATGTAATAACTTATGTAATTATTATATGGATATTTGGAATATATGGAATATTATAGCTAGGATAATATGGATTATTGTCGAAATGAATGAATATTAGTATTCTGACTATTGCTTAAACAACATCTGAAGTGGCACTATCCACCTTTAATCATATATAAATATCTCTCCGGAAATGATGGATGCAATTTAATTATCTTTGAACGGATGGATGGACGGACAGTGGATGGTTCAACCAACCAACTTCCACACACTACTACTACTATATCACTAAAACACAACAGACACAATCTTAAACAAACTAGCACACCCCATTAACTCCAACTCCTATCACTGATATTGACATTTCACCTCTGTATTGACTTATATCATTGACGATTGTGTGGTATGTGGTAGTTGGTTGACACGATGTGTATGCGTGTGTGTAGGTCCGTTGTCATAAATTAATTGACATCAATGGTGTAAGATGACAGTTCAGTGTTGGTTGGTGTGTGCCAATATGATCGTTGATTGGAATCGATATGAGATTGACAACCCCGAGTTTAACGGGGAAGTTGACAAAGGGGGGATACATGATGGACAACATTTATATTGGATAGAGTAAATGATCAGGTGATCGATCAATTCTACGATACACACAAACACATACACTAATATGGTATCTGAATAACCAGTGATCGTTTGAAATTGAATTGGTGACATTATACAAGTAATTCCAACTTTCCATTTAGAGTCAATTTCGTCGTTTCCAAAATCATCTGTAGTATGGTCACAGTGACCACAACACATAATAATGGGGACATTAACTTGATTGATTGTTTGATTGAATGATAATTGTAGTATTGATTAATTGTATATTACATGATATTATTACAAATAGAATGCATACCTTAATTTATACAATGATGATGGATAATTACCAACAAACCAGTCTGTTACAGTATTTATAGTAGATGGTTCAATCCAGGTTGAGCATGAACACACAACTGGAAAGTCGTGGTAACTCTTAGTTTAGTGCAATGCACTGACTTATTTACTCACTGACCGACTGGGTGATACAAACCTTATACAATAAACGATCTCAATATCCAATGAATTTAGTTCGTTCTACAATGTGTGTGTGGGTTCACACATTCAGCAAACAATTTATCCTCCAATAGGATTTATAGTTTAAAAAGACAGTTTCCATTTGAATAACAATATTTGATTTATGTCCAATCAATTCAATTCCATTCCTCATGAACAATTTGAAGGGGTTTTGTCGTCATGGCCCCTACAACTATCAAACACTGACTCGTAATACCTCATTTGAAAGTCGTCGTCTAGACTAGTGCGTTGACAGAGACTGGTTCAGAGCACGCCATTGCGCCTTGTTGGTGATATCCTGTATGTTGGGAAGGGTCCTTGTTTGAACGAGTTGTATTCGTTTTGTATGAGTGAGGTGTTGTTGATCTTATCCGTCATCGTCCTACTTGACCTTCTCAACTCAATGTTGATTGAATGATGGTATAAACTGCAGCAATAGATAGGTTGCCATTATCTCTAGTGATCATCACATTTGAATAGATAATTAATAATTGTTGTGAAATTGTGAAGGGGTCTTAAAGTTTATAAAGTGAAAGATAGAAGTAGCACTGTAATTTGATTCACACACTAAAACTTGTTATAAATTACTTTATATATATATATATATATGTCTAATGGGTGATGGAGACAAGTGACAGTGAGGACTCAGCCGTTTATACGAATAGAAAGAGAGGTGCAACATTGCCTTATGCTGATATTAATAGCAGTGTCGATGATGAAGATGATGACGATGTAGAGGACGCTCATGATGTCGACGACGATGATGATGATCAACATGATGGCACATCTTCTGCACCACCTGTAAAGAGGAAGCCAGGACGTCCACCAGGGCGACGCGGCAGACCTCCTGGGCGAGGCGCGAGGAGTAATAGCAACACTGGCAATCGACAGGCTGGCTCAAAGAAGACAAACGCTGCGTCAAAAGTCAACAAGGGAAAGAAGAATAGAACACATCAACAGCAACACGAAGATGATGAAGATGATGACTATCAAGATGACGAGTATTATGAGGACGATGGTGATTCTGCCTCAAAGAAGAAGCACAACTCCTCAATGGACATTGACGATGCAGACGTCAGTGAAGAGATGTCTGCAATGGATGACGATGAAGACGAAGACATGGAGGACGAAGTGGATTTTGAACCCGACGAGAGTATGGACAATGAGGACGAGGAGTCTAGCAAACCGGCCAAGGGTGGTGGAGGTGGCAGAGGCGGCCACCAGCGAAAGCAACATGGAGAGAAGACTGTAATAACATCGGATGCCGCACGAAGGAAGAAACAGCAACGACAACAAGACAGTGTAGAATCACTAGCTCTACAAACGACATCAACTACTACACTACCCAGCATGTCATCACCGCCAAGGAGTGCGCGACTACAGGCTGCTGCAGCAAACAAAGATGCTGCAGCTGAACACAAGACTGAGGAGCAGCCTGCAGTGCCCTATCATTGCGACTACTGTCAGAAGGACATCAGTAGTTCAGTGCGCATTCGATGCTCAGTGTGTGAGGACTTTGATCTGTGTCTCGAATGCTTCAGCGTTGGCGTTGAGATCACACCACACAAGAACTATCACGACTACCATGTCGTGGACAACATGCACTTCCCCATGTTCACCGAGGACTGGGGTGCAGACGAAGAGCTACTACTACTAGAGGCTGTGGAGATGTTCAGGATGGGCAATTGGAATGAGGTCAGCGAGAACGTCGGTCACAAGTCACCAATGGAATGCAAGACACATTACTTTACCTATTATCTAAACACTAATACATCACCATTACCAGTATGTATCAACAAACAACAGAATAACAAGGTGATGATCATACACTAACTTTATGATGGCAACCTTTACAGGATGTGTCCAAGGTATTGACAACGAATGAGACTGTAAACTTTAAGAGAGCAAAGGCAACAAAGTACAACCCTACAGATAGGAAGAAAGGACCTCAAACTGATTCAGAGGGTCCATCAGGACCCGTAACAGACTCTGTTGGATTTATGAAGAACAGAGGACAGTTTGAATCAGAGTTTGATAATGATGCCGAGGTAGTTGTCAAGGATCTTACATTTGAACAAGATGATACTACTTCAGATAGAGGTATGATTGATTGTATATATAATCACAGTCGTCAATGGATAGTTATACTTACAAATATATATCTTCCAAACAGAGACTAAACACCAGGTATTGGAAGCATATAGCCATAGACTGGACGAAAGAATCAGAAGAAGGAACTTTATCATTGAAAAGGGACTATTGGAGTATAAGAAGGTATGGTAATCAATCTGATAGTGCACTTCTTGGTTCTAACCATTCATCCATCCATCCAAATAGATTGAAAGAAAGAGATTGAAGACAGATAAGGAGATATATAACTCAATGAAGGTATTCCTTCAGGTCATGTCAAAGGAGGATCATGAGAAGCTGGTCAATGGAATAATAGCAGAGAAGAACATGAGGGAGCGAATTGAACAGTTGCAGAACTATAGAATGAATGGTGTGCGCACACAGGAGGAAAGTCTTCAGTACGATGAGGATAAGCGAAAGAGGGACGCAGAGAGGAACCTCAGAAAGACCAAGAGCGATCTGGCCTATCACACTGAGAAGCCACCAGTCATCAAGAACCTGAAACAGATGACCAAGGAGAAGGAGGAGATATTCTTGGGCATTGGAAAGGGTGCCACTGAGCGCAAGTCGCTCAAGATTCGAAAGAATGTCTCACTGGAGATGGATGGTTTGCCAAACGTCGACGCGCTCTCTGTCAAGGAGAAGCAGCTCTGTTCAAACCTGCGACTATTGCCACATCAATACCTGTTGATCAAGGAACTGCTCATTGGTGAGAACCTCAAGACTGGCAAGCTCAAACTGAGCACCGCCAACAAGCTGTTGAAGCTCGAGTCGGCCAAGGTTGTCAAGATTTACGAGTTCTTTGAACAAAGTGGATGGATCAAGAGAGACGGTCCTGCACCTGCTCCTGCCTCTGGAGGACTGACACAGAACATCACTAGTCATGCCAGCTCAGCCAACTAATGTGCACCCTGTAAATAAATGACTGTCACAACAATGATGCATGTATGATTGAGTTGAAGCCCAACCACATTGATATATTGATCAAGCTTTGTTGTTCTTTGGTCGCTCTTGTTCCACCTTTATAGCAAGTTCCTTGAAGATTGGATGTAGGAACTTTCCTCTTGTAGAATCAAAGAATGACTGTAGATCCTTTCCTTGCGCTTTCTCGTACTCTAGAGCCTGTAGTATCATCTCGAACTTGTCAAAGTCCTTGACCAACAATGCTTCGTCTGTCTTTGCTTCTTCATATTCGAGCCACAGATTGTAAATCTCAATACCTGATTCGTTATTGAGTGTATCCTTTATCTTGATCATTGCGTCCTGTCAATCAGAGAGTAGAAGTGAGTCAAAGTGATCTTTCTTTGTTCTTAATCATACAACCAACCTACTTGCTCAAGTTTAAACTTCTCTTCTTTTGATATCTTATCGTAGGGAGTGAAGTCACCGACAATGGATTCGCCTAGATCATGAACTAAGGCCATCTTGATACACTTTGTTCTGTCAATGGGTAAGCCGCTGTTTACACCTTTGGTGTTGCTGTCAAGTGACATGCCAAACAATGACATGCGATACATGTGATCAGATATTGATTCAGGCAGGTGAATGCCATTGTTCACCCAACCAGTTCTCTTTGTGGTCTATTTATCGATAGAGTTAGAGTCTGTTGTCATTGATATTGGTAATGTGATGTATAGATACCTTGAGAAGTCCACAAATCTTATAGAATTCCAACAATGATGACATTTATTCTTAAATGACCTCTTTGAAATTGGAATATTGTTATTCATTGTTGGAATTAAGGTCTAAATTGAAAGTTTAATATTCTATTTATAAATGGTTATTAATATAATCTAACCATTATTAAAAACACTATAAATTAAAGTTTAATTTGTTCCTGGAATAATTTAAAAAAGGAGCCGACTCTAATCAACAACCGCTTTTTTCCGTTCAAAATCAATTCCAGGGAACTCGCCATTTTCAATATTCTCTTAGCTCAGCGGAAGAGCATTTGACTTCGAATCAAATGGTCAAGGGTTCGAACCCCTTAAGAGAATAGAACCTTTTTATTTTAATTGTGAAACTTGGAACCCATTGGCCATGTCTAGGGCAGCCGTGTCGATGGTGTTGTCGTGGATCAGTCTCTCGAGGAATAATAATAAACTTATTGATCTTTATATTAAAGAATAATGTAACATGAGGAACTTTCCAGAGTCGAATGATTCGTTTTCCAAAGTGTTTTGATG